TTTCCCCGCAGAACCGAGCCGCGGTCACGCGTGGCGGCGGGCGGGGTGTGCTCGCCCCCAGCCCCATCCCATGACGGCGATGAGGCGGCGATAATGCCATTAGCCCGGGGATTACGCGCCCGCGCCGGGATGTGACACACTTTCTCAAATGGAAGTTTTTTAAACAGAGGGATTTACATGATCCCCCACCGTGCCCCTCCATCCCTGTACCCATTCCCATTCCCATCCTCGGTGCCAGCGCGGGTTCCAGGCGGGTCCCCCCGCTCTGGGACGGCCCGGACTGGGGTTCCCGTCGCCTTTTAAGGCAGCGGGCTCGGTGCGGGCTCGGCGCCGCGCCCCGACGTGGGGAGCTGGGCAGCCCCGGGGGCGCGGGGCTGGAGCGGGGTCACTCCGCCCCGCGCGGGGAGAGCGCTCCGTAATTAAAACAAAAATTAATGAAATAATTTAAAATTCAATCAGGCGGAGGGTTGAGCGGGCTCCTGGCTCAAAGCAACGTGGAGTAACGGGGGAGCGGAGGACGCGTGTCCCCCCCGGCCGGGCCGGGGTCACTCGCCGCCCGCCCTGACAAATAAGCCGGGAAATGTGTTTATAAATTGTTCAAACTCTGGATAAACTTCAGCGGCGTTTGTGTCTGCGTCTCCCCGCCTGTTGTTATTTTCCAGAAATCTGGATTACTGGAAATATTTTCTTTAAAGCTGGAAAGAAATCTAAACAGTCTGAGGGCAGGGGGAGCTCGGAGCAGGGGGGACAGCCCGGGGGCTGCCGCGCTGGCGGGGCTCCGCGGGGTTCCCTGCGCACGGAAGGGGCGCGGAGCTTCGCGGCCGCGCGGCGGGAGGAAGAGGAGGGAGGAAGGAGGGCGGCGGGGCCGGGGCTGGTGTCGGGTCGAGCATCTCTCTCGGTGGCTGTCGATAAAAGGGCATCAGGCGGCCTCCGGTGCCCGGCGGCCCCTCCCCGTCCCCTCCAACGGGCACCGGAGCACCGGAGGGGGGCAGAGTCGTTTTCCCGGGATCTCCCGGGGGTAAGGGAATTCCCACCCCGCCGAGGGGTGTGAGGGGAGATGCGGCGCCCCGGGGAAGGGAAGCAGAGGAGGGGTGGACGCGGGTGGGTGAGAGCAAACGAGGATGGATTCATCGCACGTGGGGTTCTTTTCCTCTCCAGGTGGAGCAGAGAAGAGCGGCCGAGGAAGCTGCTGGGGCTGTGGGGTCGCCCCTCGCCTCCTCCCCGCCTGCCCCACGCCCCAGCTGCGGCGGGAGGGCCAGGTCGGACCGGGGGGTACACCCCGGGACTGGTGGGGGCCACCGAATCCCGTGGGGACCCGGTACCTTCGGGACAGAGGGAGTTCCCCACCCTGCACCTGCGGCTTCGCTCTGGGGGGCCTCTGACATCCCCGTGTCTGTTCTTCTCCCGGGGGAGCACCGTGGAGCCCAGTCCTGTGGCACCGTCCCCCTCCCTCCACGGCACGGCCTGTTTCCACCCCCACTCTGGTCCCTCCGCTTGGGAAGGTGCGAGAAGCTCGGCCGTCCTCGCCAGGGGCCCCGGGGTGCCCTCTTGCCGTGGCATCAGTGCCGGGAACGGGGGGGCCGGTGGAAAACCCGTTCCCCTGGAGCCCCTTCCTCGGCCGCGGCTGGTGCACCCCGTCGGGGGGGAGCGTTCCCCGGGGCGCGGGGCCGCCGCAGCCCGGTGGAGCCGGGAGGAGGGGAAGGCGGAGGCCCGGCTGCTTGTGAGAATTGTTATTTTTCATCAATCACCCGCAATTTGTGTAAGTGCCCCGGACAGGACACCAGCCGTCCTGCTGGCTGGGGTCACGGAGACAACACAGCGATGGAGAAGAGCAAATTGCATTTGCTCACCAGCTCACAGATCCAAATTACGGCCCTCGCATGGCGCGGGGAAGGGAGCGAAAGGTCCATGTGACATGAGGGAAATATGAAGGACTTTGACAGGTCTTAAACGGCCTGGCGCCAAGGCCTAAGTCTACCGGCTAAAAATAGAAAAAGGATGATGAGTGGAGATGGGCAGAGATGAAAGGGGAAGAGCGAGCGGGGCCGCGCTGCGGGGCGGGTGGGGGGCGGAGGCGGCCCGATGGGACAGTTTCTCCGGGCTGGACCGGGACAGATCCCCAGGACGGGATCTCCGGGACGAATTCGCGAGACGGCCCGGCCTCCATCCGCCCCAGCCTGGGGACCGCACCCCGGTGTAGTGCCGGGCCCGCAGGCGGCCGGGGCGGCTCCCGGGAGCCGGACACAGTGGCCCCGAGCGCTGTAGGTTGGAAAACCCTCCCTGGAAGGGGGCTGCGCGGGGACAGCTCTCGTCCCCTGTCCCCGGGGCACAGCTGCCCTCAGGGTGGGAGCCGAGGCCGTTGGTTCCTCTCTCCCTGCCCCGTGCTCGGTCACCGACGGGGCGATGCGCAGCCTGTCCCGACCATGGGTGCGGGATCCTGAGTCGTGTCCGCGCCCGTAGTGGATACTCTGGTTCCCGCTATCCCCCTACCCCCGCAGTCCCCTTGTGGGGCGTCCCTGCGGAAGTTCGAGGAGACGAGGCTGCTCTGGATCGGTTTTATTCCTCAGGCGAGGCCGTTTGTGGTGTTTACAGCGGGGCGGGGGGCGCGGGCGGGGGGCCGGGCAGTGGCCCCGAGGGGAGACGACCTTTCCTCGCGGGGACACGGCTGTGTCCGGGCCCAGAGGAACAGCAGGCGAGGTGTCCGTGAGAGAACAGCCGCGGCCTGAGGGGATTCGCCGCGGGGCAACGAAAGACTCCGCTTTTGCTTTGTGAGGGGGGAATTCGGAAAAAAAAATAAATTACAAGCAAGCCCCACTTTTGCCAAAGCTGCCGTCAGCAGTTTTCCGCGGCGGCAAGGAAGCAAAGTCCAAATTGGGTCTAAATTTCAGTCCCCGCTGCCCGTTCAATGGTCAGCGGGACCCCCCCGGCCCCGCCGCCCGGGGCAGCCCCGGGGGGGGACGCGCGGTGCGGGGCCGGGCGCGGTGCGGGCAGAGGTGAACCTGCCGCGGGACGCGGGCAGGTGGTGATCGGCCCGGAGACCAGCCTGGGGCCGGGGCTCCGCGTGGCGCCGGGGGACAGCGGGCGGGGTCGCTATCGGCAGGATGAACGGGGGCAGAGGGATAAAGAGGAGAAGCCGGGATGGGAAGGGGGCATCGGGAGGTCCCCGCGTCCCGCCCTGCGCGGGGAGCAGCGACACACGGCCACGAGGGCTCCGAGCGGCTGCGGCCGCTCCTCGCTGCGCATCCGCGGAGCGTGAGGACCGGGGGAGGAGAGGGGGCCAGGCCGGGGGACAGAGGAGTGGGCCGGCCGTCACCCCCCCGTCCCGCCTGGCCGCAGCGCAGGCGGCGGGGGCAGGAGCCTTGGAAGGATGGCAGGGCGCTTTTTGAAGATTTGGGGGTAAATATGAAGTGACAAGAGACGGGTCTTTATTGTGAGGGCTCAGCCGCCTGGCGCCAGGGCCCTCTTCAGCCACCGCGGCCCTCAGTTAATCAGCGCAGATCTCCAAACCGGCCTCTCCGAGGGGACACCCACCGCGCCCGCCGCCCCAGCATCCCCACTAGGGCACGCCAGCATCCCCAGTATGGATCCGCAGCATCCCAGTGCGGGCCCCCATTACAGCGTCTCCAGCGGCCCCTCCTCCCAGCATCCCCAGTGCGACCCCCAGTACAGCGTCCCCAGCGCCCCCCCAGACACGACATCACCCCCCAGCATTCCCAGTGCCGCCCCCCCCTACAACACGACACCCCCCCTATGCAGCTCCCCCCCAGGCCCGGAGCATCGGCCCTCGCGGGGTCCCCGGTCGTGGGGGGTGGGATCCTCCCCCCCGGTCCCGAACCCGGTCCCCATCCCGGTCGCACCTGCCGGGATCGAGGGAAAAGCGGCGGCGAGGAACAAAGGGCCCGGGGGGGCGGCACAGCCCTCCCCCCTCCGCCGCACCGGGCATGAACCCCCTCGGCGGGCACGGCCAACACCGCCCGCACCGGGCACGGCCCCCCCGTGCGCCATCACCGCCCCCCGGGGCGCAGCTCCCCCCATCTCCCACCGCGGCCCCCCGGGCACGGCCCGCCCCGGCCCCCCCGGTACCGGGGCCGGTACCGGGGCCGGTACCTCGTTGAGCAGGAAGGTAGCGCTGGAGTCAGAAAACGACATAGACGGGGCGAGCCGAGCCGAGCCGCCCGCGCCCCCCCCCGGTACCGGCTCCGGTTCCGGCTGCGGCTCGGGCTCC